AGGTTGTCATTTTCAGCTGAGGATATGGATCAAAGTACACTTTGGAAAAGCGATTGTTTGTTCTTTCTTTTCTCTACCTTGTGTTCCCTGGAAAAAACAAAACAAACAAACCAAAAAAAAAAAAAAATCCCTCTCATTACTTTTCCTTTGAATTAGAATTTCTTTCTTTGACCTTAAACTCTAGCATCATGTCAGTTTCATGGTAGGAAATCTAAGGCCCAGGAGGATCTTTGCAAAAAGTTCACATTCAAGTGAACAGCTCAAGATGAAAAAAATAAACTGTCACTTAATCGCAAAGGCGGGTCTGTTTGTTACTGATGTCAGAGCCGTCCTGTAGGAAGCCTTGCCCCTTGCCCAGTTAGCCCAGGGGAAGTACCTGTCTTCCTTACAGGGAGAAAGAAGCCATGTAAGTGGCTAATGCTGGTGACAGCTTTATAACTGTCCTCTGGAATGGCCTCAGTCCAGACAATTAAGCAAAGAGTCGGGGAGGGGCAGGCTCTCTCCCATAGCTCTACTGCTAAGTCTTATTTGCCCTGTAGGTGGGGTGTGGAGGGGAGACGAGTAGCAGGAGCTTTGATCCTTGACCTTGCCAGCAGGCAACCTGTTGCAGTTTTTAGTGACTATCTCCGTATCTTTTTCAATCTCTTTAAAGACAGCTTTATAGGCAGAAATTTTTAGCTTCCCCTCCCCCACCCCCAATCTGCCTTTTACTGAGTTTTTACAACTCCTTTCCTTCTCATCTTTAATCAGTCCATTGTAATTCTCTGGTTTCTGGCACTCTGCTTGGAAGCCAAATAAGGATCACTTTCATGTGGCCAGGGGTGGCATCCATATTTACTTGGGTATGTAAATGTTACAACTGACTCAAGGCTAAATCCTGTTTATGTCTGGCTAATGGTAGAAGAGTTAGCACCTGAATAAATTATTTCTGCCTGAATTCTGAGCAGACAGCATGGAAGAGAAGTAAGAACAGAGGAGCATGCATACATAGTGTTCCAACAGCGCCTACATTCCAGCCACAGGGAAGGTGGGGAACTTAACCAGAAAATCTCTAATGACTCTTGGTGACTTGCAAAATTCTTAAAAGAATTGCTTTGATTTTTAAGAATAACTTCTATATGATCACATTGAAAGGCATGAGGCTGTAAAGTTAGTAAGTTTATTTGGCAAAGAGTGTTTGTTACAGCTCCCAGAAGTTTAGAATCATAGTTTAGTGTCTCTGGCTTTGGTTGGTGTACTATTCCGTACTATTAAGCACTCATTAGAGTCTGTCCGTGGTGACTCATTTCCCTTCAAACCTTACAAGGTATACAGACTTCTACATTTTCTCCTCTAAGAGGCAGAACCTAGTTAATTTAGGAAGATCACTCCATTGGCGGTTCAGTGTAGCTGTCAGAAATGTTCACAAAACAAGCACAAAGCATAACTCCAGTGAGATGATTACAATTAGGCAGCCCTGGCACCTCCACTAAGACCACCCAAGATGTTTTATGCACAAAATAACCATCATATCGAGGGCATCAATTTTTCAAGAAAAGCCAGATGTGTCCTGCCTCTGAAGAGCTGCTTTCCTGGAACATCAGCACCAGCTCCTCAGAGCAGGGCACTAGCAGCCATTCCTGGTCCTCTTATTTCAAAACCTGAGATCGATGGCTCCTAACTCCTAGCCTTGGGAATTAAGACACTTATTAAAGGTATATTTCTAAATTCCTTTTCTATAGACTCTGAGTAAATCAGCCTAGAGTGGGTCCCAAATGCATTTTTGTAAGCAAAGGTTAAGCAAAGGTTCCCACATATATCTGATGCTAATAATATGCAAACACAATTAAAATTAAGCATAGCCTTTGAGACAAAGTTTCCTCTATTCTATTTAAACGGTAGTTTCCCTGATGGAGGTGGAAGGTAATAATTTTCAATCTTTCTTGCCTATTGCTAAAAGATAAAAGGCTGTGCTGTGTGGGTTAATTTTATTAAAATTAACACAGCTTGGTCAACACAATATCTTCAGTTCTGAAAATCTTTCTTCCTCGAATCACCACTGCTTCTAACAAAAAAATGGACACATCCAAACTTCTACAGAAAGAGAACAAAACCAAAAGGAAATTTAGTATGTCGGTATATTGGGTGGACCATCCAAACAAGAGTGTTAGGAAGTGTCTTAGAGTCTTCTAGACTCTAGACACTGGTCTCGGTCGTCTAGAGTCTTCATTTTAGATGAGGAAACAAACTAGAAGGGCAGGATGCCTTATAAGGGAGCCTTCAGATAGTTCCTTGCCAGAATATCTCCTTGATGAGCTGCCTGCCACTTTGACACCATGAAGCTCAATACGTATTGGAGCATGTCTTAGATCATCTGTAGTCTGTATGTGCTGAAAAAGTAACCGTATCTCCACCATGAAACTAGGCTCCAGGAAAATGACTTTTAAGCACAAACTGGGCCATTGTCCCAGAAGAGTAGAGAATAAGATGAGCTATCTGAGGTGAGGGGACACTCTTGATTTATAACAGAGAACTCTAGGTCACACCTGTAACATTGTAAGGATGGCCATTTCCAGAAGAGATGTTCAAGTAGCTATAAAGTTAAAGGGATCCGGGTTAAGAAAAAAGTAATTAGTCCTGTAGGAAAACAGGGGCCTATTCTTGTATGCTGACCTGATGACTTAGCCAAGGTTATGTAAAGTGAACTGGAAACAGGTCTACAGGGAACAGTTTTGGCCTAACTTTCTGATGTGTAGTTCAACTCCTGGAAACATTCCCGCTTTCTGATTTATAGTCATAGAGAATAACAAGATAGCACTAAATGTTGGAGAGTTTACAGCTGACATACAGTTAATTAAAGCTCAAGACAGAAGAAAAAGCATGAAAGGCCAGCTGGGGATAAGCATGTATGAAAGCAGATGTATGCCATCATCAACATGTTTGAATGTATGTGAATCACTTTGTAATCTGATTCCTGTATCTTTGTGTTTATCGAGCCAACCTCTGAACATGCTAGCATCCCTTCCAAGACCATGGCATTAGTTGTTTCTTGTACTTTACTTTGTGTATCAGCATTTGTCTTGGTCAACCTAAACAACCCTCTTCCCCTTCACAAGGCAGGGGATCTGCAGGGTGATATGAACACATACACTTTTCCTACAGTTTTCATGGAAGTTTATTCATGGGATGGTAATGACAGAATAGGAGCACAAAGAAGAAATTGATTCAAGTATCACAGGACACATGTCACAGGACCCTGCTGGAGCTTGCAGGGTACCCATGAGGCCCAGAGTAGACGTATGACATTCACCATTACTAAAACTGCAAATGTGGATTCAGTGCAACCATTATCAACATCTATTATGAACATGTTGTGCATGGCACTTTAGAAGGACCACTAAAACAACTCTGTGTGTAAGACAGCATCTGTGAATTAGTATGTATGTGATAGAACATGCACACATGCATGTGTGTGTGTGTGTCTGTGTCTGTGTGTGTGTCTGTGTGTGTAGTGTGTGTGTGTATGAGAGAGAGAGAAAGAGAGAGGGAAAGACAGTCAGACAGACAGACAGACAGACAGACAGACAGGGACAGAGAAACACACAGAGAGAGACACACACAAAGAATGGGGTGTGGGAGGAGGGTATGAGTTTAGGTGCACATGCCATGGTGTGGGTATGGAGGTTAAGGACGGCTTTGGGGAGTTGATTTTTTTTTCATAAGTTCCAGGAATTGAACATAGGATAACAAGCTTGTATAGCAAGCTCTTTTACCCACTGAACTATTTCACCAGCCCTGACAAAAGCCTTGATGTCAGGAACTATGCATCATACAGGCTGGAAATCTTTATGACTAACAAGTGGAGCCATCGTACAGCCCTTCCCAGCTTGTAAACCAATCTGTACTGCTCTATTTTTATTGTCTCTACAAAGTAACAAAAACCTACATACCACTGATCAAAGAGCATAAGCAGCCTTTTCTATATTATAAATTCTACCTTATAAGTAGCAAATCTGAGGGGATGTCAACTACCCCCATTCTAATGAAGAATTGTGACCCAGGATCACAGAGTTCATTGTAAAAGAGGATCAGAAATCTCTTTATTCTACCCATAGAGAAGCATAAGCTGTGCTGTCTAAAACCTTAACGTTTAGTAGTAAGCCATGCTATCCCTGTCTTCAAAACAAGACACTGTGAAGGTTAGCAGAGAGAACTGAGGAGACCTTCTGGTATCTCTGGCATGGGAAGAGGCTACAGTGAACAAGTATGATCCTAGAAGGCAAGAAGGAGATGTACCAGGTCCACCATCATTTCCTCTTAGCTGTGTGGCATGCTGCTTATCACCCTTGGGCTGCATTTCATCACCTCCCATTATTATCACAATCACTGCTGTCATACAGGTGAACCTACTTCTCTATTCTCGTGGCTCTAGGCAAATGTCAGCTATGGTTACAGTCTGAGTCTTTTCGGTTACGGTATTGACTTGCTTCCTGATCTTCAGAACTCTCTCCTGACACCTTAGCTCTGTCATTTCTGTAAGCAATACTGCTGATACAGTGCTTTACAAACACTCTCCTGCAACCATTTCCAACACATAGTGACCTAGAAATCTTTTGAGATTCTGTGAAGATAGATTTTTGGCCCCTAGGGATTATGACCAAGAACAGCTGGATGGAGCCTTGTAAAAGTCAGTCTTTGAAGGCCCCTACTGGATATAGATATAACTTGGGCTGTAAATACTCTTGAAAAGGAAAACCTGCCATGCAATCCCAGTAGACAAAGAACTATGATATCTGTGGGAAAAAAAAACTTGACTTACGTATCTTTCTCTGTCAGTGATGCAGACATCACCAAGCCCTTAACTCCTGAGATCTGTGTTCTGTTCCCTTGACCATAAGACTGACTCAAAAGAGAAAGAGAAGTCTACTTTGGATTTGAGTCTAGTGGACACAGTGGAAGCTCCAGGACTCTATTTTATAAGGTTAACTCTATGTCGTGGCCTGTTTCTTCTTTCTCTGCAGACACATTTGCCAGCAAAGTAGCAGCTACCCAGGACCAGTATGCAGATGCGTCTATAGGCAATGTCACTGGAAGCAATGCTGTGAATGTCTTCCTGGGAATCGGTGTGGCTTGGTCCATTGCTGCCATCTACCACGCGGCCAACGGGGAACAGTTCAAAGTGTCCCCTGGCACGCTAGCTTTCTCTGTCACTCTCTTCACTATTTTTGCTTTCATCAACGTGGGGGTGCTGCTGTATCGGCGGAGGCCAGAAATAGGAGGTGAGCTGGGAGGGCCCCGGACTGCCAAGCTCCTCACATCGTCCCTGTTCGTGCTCCTGTGGCTCTTGTACATTTTCTTTTCCTCCCTGGAGGCCTACTGCCACATAAAAGGCTTCTAAAAGAACAATCAGATATAGTAAATTTATATATATATGTATACATATATATATATACATAAAAATTATGTATAATGAACAGAGGAAACTGACATTTGTCATGTTCACTTAACCTGCTGATGGAATCCAGCTTCAAGAACATACTCTGTACAAGGCCGGAAGTCAGAAACCATCATCTCCCATTCCCGGGCATCATCAAGTTGAACAAGGCGTGGAGACAGGGCCATCTTGCAGCTCGTCCTAGAAGAGCTCCGAGGTCATTAATGCTTAAGGCTTTTATTTGTTTTCTTGTTTTGTTTTTTGTTTTGTTTTGTTTTGCTTTGTTTCCAGCGGTGGGAGAGGGTTAGGGGTAGGTGGCTGATTTTTGGCTTTTGGTTTTTGGTTTGGTTTTGATTTGCTTTGTTTGAAGGGCCAAGATCCTACTTTTTACAAAAAGTAGTGATCCACCCAAAGGTGAGTGGATTTGGGATCAACATTAAAATCATTAAGAGTCTCCTCACCTCCTCCAAACTCTTTAAACATTACTTTGGATTAAGGAGAGGATCTGGGCATGGAAGAAGAAAAACGCACATCTTCACTATATTACCAAATTTTATGCTTATCTCCGGAATGTGAACAGTGGTGAACTGCCTCCAGGAAGAAGCATGGGAGCTGAAAAGGAGCCAGGAAAAGCAATGGTTCTAGATGTAGTCTAAGTATATGGTACCTGGCACTCTTGTTCAACAGGTACATGGATAATGTGCCTAGATTCCCAGGAACTTGCAGAATTCTTCATCCCTTATCTCTTTAGCTCTGAACTGTGATTAGTAAGACCCTTATCCCTTCCATCCCAGCCTACTCCCCAGGTTCTCCATCCCAGACCACCACCCAATCCCTGCAAGCAGGAAGATTAACCCCACCATTTCAGTCATCGTGTGTGTCCGGGTCCCACGTTACTATTGTGTGGGATTTTTCCATCAGTTTTATTTTCAGTGGCATCCATGGCTTGCACAATCCTGTCCCAGTCATGACTGAACATTTGCCCTCCTTCATGTGCCTGTTTGGGACTGTTGTCGGGATCCCCATTACACAGTGCATGGATGAAAAACAAATAAAACAAAGCGTATTTGTATATAGTAGAGTATAGCAAATACTGTCCTCCCATTCAGCGATGTTGATTGGACATTGAAGACATAAGTGAGTTTTCTTTTCACCTGAGTTATTCCTTTTGAATTGTTCTTGAGTTTGGATGTTGATAGGGATAAAAGAAGAAAATGGCTTATTGTTCATGAGTCTGCACGCTCATTTCTAAGAAGCAATAATTGTCATGTGAAGGGAGATTAAGGCTATTGAGAGGATAGCAGGCAAACTACAAAGATGTCCATGAAATAGTAGCCATGTGGAGCGCATCAGAGACCTCTAGGAATCACCCATTAATTCAGGCAGGCCAAGGAGAAAGGCTGGGGAGACGAGTGGACACTTTGGATGTGCCTGGACTTTTACAGCCATGGTTTCCACACCACCCCTCCCCCAAAGTATTTATTGCACATCTGCTCTGTCTGGCACAGATGATAGATAGTGCTAGTTCTTTTTTGTTTTTGTTTTTTTAATGGAGAAGGCCATTTTGAGCCCTGTTTCGTTCACCTCTCAGTCCAGACTTTTTGAATTTGTTAGCAACTCCTGAGAGGAAAAGAAGTCTGAGTGACCAGTGGGACTTTTAGAGGTCCACTGGGTATGACCAAGAGAAAGTTACTCAAAGAGACTGTGGAGTTTTTAACACTTTGCAAGGAATGGCTCTTTCCATTCAAAAGTACCAAAGAGCAGAGATGAACCCAACATTCCAAAAGCTGTGATTCTACTAATGGAAATGGGATGGCTTTGCCCATCTCTCAGACAATTCTCTCAGCCTCCTTGGCCCTCTGCATTGACTCCAGATACTTAAGAAATAAATGTCGCTGAGAACTTCTTTCCCTTCATCTGCTCAGTGACCATAGCTGTTCATTGTTTAATCAACATCTAGTGACTGAGTGAATAGAGACTTGTTGCCCATTCAATAGGCCAGGTAATACTACAACCTGGGAGCTGAACAGTGACCAAGACAGCCCAGATTCCTGCTCCCAGTGAGTATTTAGTGAATGAGATTCCTACTCATAGAGTAAGAGGTGACACTGAGACAGTTTTTATCTTGCAAGAGAAAAATAATTATGACTTTTAACATAGTCACATGAAAATTGCACAACAAAGGCAGTTGACCAAATGCTCATGTTTTGTTTTTCCTAAGAGAATGTAATGTTTAGCTCTGGAAAAGTACTCTTTATAGCCTTGGCCAACATGCAGGTATTTTCATCTTCCTAATTTAGACCAAGCAGGGCACTATGGTGGTGACCAATATCACTGGGAAGACCCAATTAGCCTGTTTTTAAATCTCTGTGGCAATGGTACCTTTCCATAACAACATGCCACAGGCCACCAACAGTGGTGACACAGGAGACTCCTCAATGGAGCACTCTAAGACATCCTGTTTTGATTGTTTTAATCTTAATTTTAGATTTCAAAAGTGGAAAGCTAGCCTAGAAATACCCAATATATATAGTCAAAGGATATACGTGGTTAAAAATCTTAGAAAGAATTTGCACTGGTTTTTGTTTTGTTCTGTTTTGTTTTGTTTTGAAGCCATCTTTGGAATGTCAATAATTCTGTAGTGAATTTTCACAGAGAACTTCCCAAGAACTTCTTGCTGTTGGTCAGTTTCAAGTTCAAGCTTTTTAGTTTGTTTACCTTTTCAGTCTTCATGCTGTAGGGAAAATCTGATTCTGGATGTTCAGGGTTCTTAATTATTATGTGTAAATGATTTCATTTTATTTGTTTGATTGTTTTTATTTTGCGTGTATTGTGCACGGCTTTAAGGGGACAGGCATTCACGGTGCTGTTCCTTGCAATTGGTACACATTATTGACACAGAAAAAAAAAATAAAGTTTCTAACTGTTTGTGATTTCATCACCAGTGGCACAGCATGTTCTATACTGTGGAATGTCCCCTTTCCTCACTGTCACCTACTTCATTTTCGGTTGTTTGTTTTCATGCTTCTGAAGAAATAAAGACCAAAAAGGTATCCTTGTGCAATCGGTATCCTCATCCAGGGAAAAGGTGACAGCCAAAATTCCAGCTCATGCAAATGTCAGCCCTTTGGTCATGCTATGTTTAAATGGCCCACGAGCAGCATGTGGAGTCAAAATGTTTGCCTGTCCTGTGATGCTGTGATAAGCATTGGGTGCGCCTTTTCTTCACCACTTTTATAACTTTTAATTTAACTCTATCTTCTTGCTTTCTGCATCCAAGGACATGAACTCATAAGCTATTACTTGTTAAGCAACTTTTATCACACAATGCATTCCAGTAAATCTTGCCACCCATCACACTGGTTTTTTGGAAGTTTAGTTACTTCCCAAGGGACAAGCAAATTGTTCATCTAGTATCATATATTATATTTCTTCTTATTCCTAAAACAACTTCTTCTTTATGTTGATAATTTACAATTCTATGAATTGTATAAGTCACTGACTTTCATATCTCATGCAATCAAAGGAACACACAAGGAGGTGGCACCAGACATAGAATAAGAATTGTGGGTAGAAGAAAGAGTATCCTCTTGCTCTGGTAGAATCTGGACACTAGATAGGTGCATGCAAATCACTCTTTGTTTATCTGAGCATCTTAAAGTTTTTCATAGATTCTTTCATCATACGATCATGTAGGCATGTGTGGCATACTTTCAAGGATGAAAGAAATGAGGTATAACTCAAACATTCTTCTTGAATTAAAGAATTGATGTGTCTCCTGAATCTTGATCTTTAATTTCATATAAAACTGGCATCTGCTGTTTGCTTCTTGAAAAAAAAGAGCAAAATGAATATTATAGTGAAGATCCTTGACGATTTAATAGATCTCAGCAAAATTCTGTGGCTGTAATTGACTGTCAAGAGCTTAGGTGCAAACATTAATTTACTGACAGATTCTGATTTGATCTTTCAAGCCTTGAAGATATCAGAGAACCTTGCTTTCTATAGTATAGTATAGTTTATGAAAATTTGGTTGTCAGTGTTTTCCAAATATAAGATTATCATAGAAATATACTATTTGAAACAAACCTGTGGAGATGGATAGGTGACTTGCACCTGATGAACACCCCCATCTCAGCAAGTGATCTCAAAGCAAACAGAAATGTGTTGTTTCCACTGCCATTTGTAACCAGGAGTCCTCCACTAGAAACTCTGTACTCTCACATTCCTGGTTTTAACCTAATAAAATAAAATAAAGTGAGAGGCTCTAGTTCGCTCTTAAACCTGAGAGCTTTGTGGGAATGAAGCTCCTCTTTTCTAAAGCAGATCAGCAAAAAACTTGTTTTGGTTTTTCTGAGTTGAAAATGTGGAATCTCTCTCAATTTTGATTTTCCTTTTCTGATGTTTGGCAGCTATAGCCATGGCAAGTCCTGGTTGTATGTTCATAACTTTAGGAACATTGGGCCATTTCATCATTGACAATATACAGTTCATTCTAACTTACAAGTGGCATCTAGCAGTCCTTATAATAATCACGTCTGTTCTAGGCATCCATGAAACTAGAAAGTGATGTATGTGATTATTGGTTGGGAAATCAGTGGTGTGATACATGAAAGAGACCTGCAAAGTCACATTCATCTTACTGGGGATATGTCTTCCTGTGGAGAGATTGGTTAATATGTGTGCTCATGTCTCCCTACAGATTTTGTTTTATAACAGATTGGGGATTTTGCTATTCTTTTCAAACACTATTATTGCTAGAGCCATTGTTGCCACACATTCTAGCACATTTCAAAGGTTTGGGTTGAATACTGCTGATGGTACTCCTGGGATACCCTGGGAAAGAAACACAAGTGAAAGTTAGGTGTTTCTTTTTTTAATATTTAACCATGAGTAACAATCTCCCAAAGCAGAGTATGTCCCTCCTGCACAAGGGCAAGCCACTGAAGGGTAGAACTCCCAAGAGAGACAGAATGTGTTTTCGCTTTCCAGTCCACAGGAAATGGTAAGTATCCAGCTTGCTGTTTGTAGCCTGCCAAGATGTCCAAAGAGATGCACTCAGAGAACCTATGGATTTTCAGTTTTGTCAAAGGCTCTCTGATTTCATTGCCTCAAGGGGCATTCAAGTAGATGGGTTTGTAAATCATTATTTTTGATAGACTCACTCTGAGGAAAGCCCATCATTTCTTCGTCTACCATTTCCCTTCCCTATTGCCCAACCTTGTCATTCTTTCATCAGCCAGCCTTGGTCCATTCAGTAGACTTTGTGATGTGCCTGGTATTTCCTCTCAGCAATAGAGGAAAGCTCACACTACAAAGGACTGCTTGGGAATTTTTCTTTTAGGGGTAAACTTGTCATAGAAAAATCAAATATGATGATTTTTCACAGACATTAGAGACACAATATGCTATCTCTACAAATACAAACAGACTTTAGAATACGGTGTGTTATCTCTACAAGTGCTTGGGGTATATACTATACTAGAGTTACTACGTGCTACTTTGTTGATTTTTATCTCTCTTGAGGTCATATTTATATTGCCCCTGTGTCCACTCCCTAGCCTATTATATCAATATATGTTGGTGTAGAGTGGAAAGAACAATATACATGTCACCAAGCCCCATAAGAGTGTCCCTAAAGCTGTCATATGTAAAACAGAAGAATGCATATTGACTCTAAAAAACATGAGTGAGTCAAGTGCTCACTGGTTACTGTGTTTCAGATATTCAGTAGGTAGGAAAATTCACATATGACCTAATAAACCAATGAAGGAATTAGCAAACTTCCCAGATACTGGATCAGTTTTTATAGTTAATTCACAAAGCCACACCCTAGTAATCGGAGTGGTGAATAATTTCAGGTATGCTTGGACAAATCTAAAAGTGTACTGGAGGAAGCAAAAGCTGGCTTATTAGGATAGTTACATACCCCTCTCTACTAGAACTCCTTGCCAGTGAGTTTATAATTTACAGAACTTTTTCTTAGACTCTCTTGAAGACATATGATAGAGGACCTCAAATCTGCAAGAAGATCCTTTCTAAAAGTGTGATTCTTGGTTTGTAATGCTCCCACCTCTATTGTCAAGAATATAATCTTGAGTTTTCTTTCCAAGATAGATAGTTACTCTTATTATTAAATGTATTAAATTAAACCAAATATGTAACTGCTTCACAAAATATTTTACCTAAGAAATAAACTAGATAGTATAAATATCCATGATAAAAATCATACCATCTTAATGGTTGCTTTTGTGAAAAATTATACTCTTTGTGAATTTTTTCCTACATTTCTAAATCTATTTTAGCAAACATTATACTTGAAAAATATCCAGAAGAAAAATCTTGGGAGCTTTTCACACTGCATTGCAGTAACGCAGAGAATCAAGTTGTATGGTTATAATAACCATGCGGGTGAGAATTATCTACACTGTTGACAAGATTATATTTTTAAATGAAATAGTTTGGCACAAAGAAAATGTGTTAAGTAGGATTTCATCATGTATTACCCTTGTTTAAGATATTTGAAAGTCATTACCTTTAAGTAAGAAGGATTCCCAGTTTTCTGAGACAAATGTATAATTTAATCTCATTCTCAAGCTTGACAAGAAAATCAAAACTGGGCATATATAGTTTTTGGCTTGGACATCCAAAGAAAAAATATGTTTTTGGCATACTTTCCACACCATAGAACTATTTTATGGAATACATTAGATCTGTGCAGATTTTTCATAAAATATTTTTAATAATTTCTTTCCACTTTTAAGTGTATAACATTTTTAAATTACTCAACTTGGTTACTTAATACTTCTCCATTTTAAAAGATGATTCCATTTTTATATTGTTACTAATATTTCAGGACTAATTATAATTTAGATCAATACATAGAAGGGGATATTGGACTTGAGTCTAGCCCCCATAACCACATGGTCCTGACAGATCTCCTAGTGGTTAAGTGTTTTAGAAAAACTGACAATGTAGCAATATCAATATTGGTTTTAGTCCATTTTTTCTATCAAAGGTTTGCATTTTAAGCAGTGTAGTAACAACTATAGATGAGTTGTATTACTAGTTGCAAGAGTCTTTTTCTTGGAATTGTTTCATTGTTTCAACACACTTGTTCTTCTCTACCTTATTTCTCCCATACCATAGGGAGATTATATATAATAAAAATACATTTTACATATTGAATAACCTAAACTGTATCCTGCATATTGCCCAGAAATTCATGTCAAGTTAATTTTCTTTCATAAATGGAACAAAGAACAAAGAAGAAGTCTTATCCTTCAGGTAAATGTACACAGTGCACATTGTTTGAGAACTGTTTGGAATAACAGGTATCCTTCCCCAAACAGATGCAAATATCTTAAAGAAAGAAATTCATTTTTATTCCTTTTGTTTGTCTAACAAGTGTTTCAGATAGAAAGTCATTAGGGCTAATTTGATTCCTTATGCTGCCTTTGACTGTGAGCATTGAAAACAGTTCTTGGGGGAAAAATAATCTGGTCAAGGTCAACTTCTGAAAGTTAATAGGATGAGATTTTGTATTTTCCCTTGAGAGATGGTAACAAGCAGTCAGGCAATCATTTACCAGTTAACATTTTCTAGAAATGAATTTTGGCATGTTGGGAAAAAAAGGGGGATCCTCACCCAATCTGTCGGCTAATATCTTATCACCCCACACTCAGCCTGTGGATCTTTCACTAGTTCTGGTTAAGGTCAGACATTCCCAAGAGAGCCAGCATCTATTTTTCATATGTGTTGATTGCCTTGTCTCTGACATTTCCTCTCCAAAATCCTACTAACAAGCAAACTGGCCTGGCCAACCAGTTGCCCGTGAGACTTCTCCGTGGGGTGGGGTACTCTCAGAGCAAGGGATGTAGTTTAACAGGCAAGAAGCCTTTGGAACTCATTTATAATTTTTATCATTGGATTCTCAGAAACCTTGTCTTTGAAGTTTCTGTCCCAATCTCTGAGAACAGGGTTCCTTCTGTCATCAGTGTCTTATAGGAACTTTGACATTCCAGTGGTTGTGTCATTAGTAAAATGAAAATAA